TAGGGTTGTATGTATATTTTAATGCCACATTAAAAAATAAAAACAAAAAATTTCGCCCAAAATTAAAAAAAAATTAAGGGTGAACAACCCTCATCACTTAGAGATATGAAGTTACCGATTCTCAGACCTACTGAATACGCACATAAAAATTTTCTCTGAGCGGGATGAAAAATGATTAAATTACTAAAATGGCTATAAAGAAATAGGGGTTGGTGATAAAAAAACTAAAAATTTAGGGTTGTATGTATTTTTTAATTCCACATTATAAAAAAAATAAAAACAAAAGAATTTGTCCAAAAATTTAAAAAAAAGTTAAGGGTGAACAACCCTTATCACTTAGGGGTATGAAAAATAGATGTTAGCCGATTCTCAGACCTACTGAATACGCATATAAAATTTGGTAAAAATCGGTAAAGCCGTTTCGGAGGAGTATGGAAACAAACACTGTGACACGCAAATTTTATATATATAGATATTGTTGTTGATTTGTAAATTATCCTCTTTGCATTTTTGAATTTCTGTTTGAATTTTCTTTCTGGAACACCCTGTATATTAGTATCCCAGGAGCCTCGGGAAGAACGAATATTTGTAGTGTTAAAATGTTTTTCTGTTCACACATTAAATTTATCATTTGTAAGACCCTGTATATTTGTTTCCATTTTCAATCGTCTAGAAAATGAGCTACAGTGGAATCCTGGCAATCCGGACCCGGCTTGATCCGGCACATTTTGTAATCCGACATGGTCATATGCCATATGTTTGTACTTTAGGATTTGTAATTTGTCGAATTGCAAGGTATTTTTTTCTAAGAAGTTCCGGACTGTAAGGCACTTTTCTATAATCCGACAAATTCGCTTATCCGACGCTGCCCTGCAAAGTGATATAAACTTGTATTCTATTGTTAATAAATAAATAGTAAGATATATTGACTTCTTTGATTTGTGTACCCCTTCTATCATTTCAGGAACAGGTCTCTAAGAGAGTTCCCTCTCTCAGGGGATGATCCCCACTATAAAAATTGTTAAGGTATCCTGTGTGATTTATGTGCTGCTTCTTTCATTTCAGCAACAGGTCAGAACTTCTAAGAATATTTTTAAGTGTCCCCTCTCTTGAGGCGACTTAAAACTTAGGAATATTTTTACAAGACCTTATAAGGATTGTCCTTATAAGGAGTTCCCTCTCCCTGGGGGTGATCCCCCACTATAAAAATTGTTGATATGCCTGAGAATTTCGGGGATGAAGCGCAGAGACATCGTAGCTGTAGGATGGGCCGGGAGCAATAGACGCATCGAAGTAGTGGCCTTAAGACTGTCTAACGACACGGGCCAAAAAATTTAAAAATTTGATCCACTCCTGCTGTTCTCTTTCTTCTATTTCCTCCTCTTCTCTACTCTGCTCTTCTGTTCTCTTCCTTTCTGCTACTCTCTCCTCCTCCTTCTTCTTCTTCTATTTCTCTGTTCCCGATTATTCTTCACTTATTTTCTTATTTCTCTTATTGCCTTCACTTGTATTTCAATTTCTCTTATATTCCGTTGCAATTCATATATGCAACCCAAATTGCACCTGATATTTTTATATTTGAGAAAAATGCCTTCTATACCTGAGATTCGATCCGTGTCTACTAGCTTGCCAGCAGGTGCACGTACCCACTCTACCACCGAGTGATTATATCATTGTTATTTGATTCTTCTATTTATGATTCTAATTTATTCAACTTTTTAAAAACAACAACACAACACAAACAACAGCTATTTATTGTACGCGCTCGACGCACGTAAGACTCATATGGAATATGATTTAAGACATCAATCCTGCAAACGTCAAACGGGGCAAATATGAAGAAGTATATAATATTACATTATGTTTTATTAGCAATATTAAAAACTACATACAAGTTTTTAAAATCGAAAATCATAGACAGCTCTTAAATCTCCTGAAAGCAAAACTTGCCTTGTAATACGCGCATCTCTAACATTTCCGCGAGGGAAGCGGTAGACTCCTTGGCACAAGTGCCCTAACCTTCTTCAACAGGCATCAACGTTGTTTATTTATATTAATTAAACATAAATCCAAGTTCTTCTTAAGTTTGTGCGGACACGCATGTTATTTACACATAGGTTAACACAAGTGCTATGTAATTCCAAAAGCAAAGAACAATCACCGACGGCAGACGGAACATCACACGCGCATAGGTGAACCACCGATAACTCCGCGATTGATGAACATTCAGCGCATGCTACCTCTAGCACCTACCTACCAGCAAAACCACATTCACATCCGATTTCAGTAAATGCCGCCAATTGTTAATTGAGAATTCCGCATTTTTCTAATTATGATTTGAAGAACAAAAAGTAGTCGCAATGAAAACGCGTGATTCTCTCGACAACCAAAATGGCACCGCGTATGCCTTGAGTTGCACGCAGTTGACAGCAACTGCACGAGGTCACTATCGCTGTTGAGATACGCACTCTGAAAGCAATAAAAAAACCTGTTCACATTCATTCATATGCGTGTATTCTAGCCCATCTAAGGATACTTTACAATAACTCAACAAAATATGTATTATTTTATAGAGAACTAGCTTTAACCCGCGGCTTCGCTCGCGTTGAATCCATCAAATAAATATTAGAAGTCATTATACATAGTTGAAACGGATTGATAGAAAGAATGTATATTTCACTGCTTGGCTAGGATTATCTATGTGAAAAAATTACTACATGCAATAAAGTTTTAAATTTTAGTTGGAATGCTAGATGGCGTTAAAGTAGTCAAATAACCAGATGCAGAGGTATTAGTGACTAAACAATTTCTTTATTTTATTTAAAAAAATAATTATTTTTATTAAATAAAAAGTAGCCTATAACCTATCGGGGACCACTAAGAATATGTGTACAAATTTTCATGATGGTCTGTTAAGTAGTTTTTGCGTGAAAGCACGATAAACTTCAGGACATTCGCATTTATAATATTAGTAAGGATTGTCCGTAGATTGAGACTCTGCGATTCGTTCCTTTATATCTCTTTTAGTTTACGAGATATTCGTAATTGAAATAAATCGTTAAAAATTGAAAAATTGCAGTTTTTAGCAGTTTCTGTCATTTCATTTAAAACCTTTTACCCCATTAAATTAAATTATTTTGCAAAAGAATAATATACCGCTGTGCACGGACTGACGAAACTTGATGCCGGCACCCGGCACGGTACTGCTCAAATGGCAGCGCACAATATGCTGCGCAAGCTAAGGTCGAACTGGAAGCAGAAACAAAGCGTCGAAAACTCCATGGATCATATAGATAACATGGATAGAACATAAAATTTTAGAGTATTCCCTCTTGCTCTAGCTCACCTCATTCTGCCATTTCTATATAGGTTACTTGAGCGAAGAATAAAGAAAAACTATCCATGTTATATATACTTATAAAAACAATTCAAAATGACTAGATACAAAACTTATAATTTTTGTAACAATTCACGTTTTACAGGTTCGTCTCGTACGACAATAGAATACAACGCGACCAAGAATTAAATTCTACATCTTTAGGGACCCCGCTGATATTAAGGGGCAGCCGCATTCATGAATTTACCCCGAAAACAAGCAAAACTTAGTCTTTCGAAACACAATAATGCAATTTTGACTTCTAATTAATAAGCTAATCACTAAAGTTACTAATGAAAATGATAAAAATATTCATTACTTACAATCTGATGAAACAATGGTGCGCATACAAAGTTGGAAACAGGTGCAAAACCCATAAAACAAGCCAAAATTAGTCTTTCGAAACACAAAAATGCAATTTTTGTTGCTAATAACAAACTAATTAACTAATAACAAAAGTTATTTTTGAAAATGATAAAGAAATTCAATACTTACAATCTGATGAAACAATGGTGCGCATACAAAGTCGGACTCAGGTGCAAAACCCCTAAAACAAGCCAAAATTAATCTTTCGAAACACAAAAATGCAATTTTGTTGCTATTTATCAAACTAATCACTGAAGTTAACAATGAAAATGAAAATAATTCAATACTTACAATCTGATGAAAGAATGGTTCTCCTACGATGCTAGGAGCAGGTGCAAAATCCCTAAAACAAGCCAAAATTAGTGTTTCGAAACACAAAAATGTAATTTTTGCTGCTAATTACCACACTAATCACAAAAATTATTTATGAAAATGTTAAAGAAAATTAATACCTACATTCTGATTAAAGAATGGTTCTCCTACGATGTTAGGTTCAGGTGCAAAACCTCTAAAACAACCCAAAATTGCCTAAAAGTCCTTTATAATTGTACTTCATTAACGTGTGGTGAAACCATTTTCTATAGCTGTGTAATTTTGGTAGCATTAGAAAGATACGAAAAATGCCTCATGGACCTAACATGTTTAGTTTATAGAAAATAGTTTCACAACACATTATAAAAAAACAAATAAATATAAAATTTATTGAATACGTTCTAAATTGCATTGACGTCAATTACTTAAATGTTGATTATTTGAACAAATTAACCGTTGAATAAAAATAAATAATGAATTTAATTCGAATTAATATTAGTAAGTGACCGGTATCCGACCGCAGACACAAATGTTAGGATAATGTCACTCAATAGCAGATTCTTGGCCACACTCGCCTAACATTTATTGTCCCCCATGTTACTACCAAATTAAAATCTCAAGAAACATGATTAATAACTATAAAAATAGACTCACGAACAAAACACGTGCTCACAATACCACCGCGCACGACCGACTAAGCAGGACAGAGAATTGTAAGCCGGCGTAAACATCTAGTGGGACACACCAACTAGATAATTGTATTACCGTTTCTAGCATTTAGCAACTAAACTTCCAACATTCAAATGGCGCGATAGTCAATCTGCAAAAACATAGTTTGTTATATTCTTACCAAAAAAAAGTTGTAAAATTCAGAACGCCGCTAATCTCTTAAAACTCTCAGAAAACCGAATTGTAAGAAGAATACGAAAGTTAAAATGCCAACACATGGTTTGAAAGTAATATATTTGTACACAATAAGGATTGCCCTTTATAATAATAAATTAATACTGATTGTTGCATCCATTTTGCCATTTAGAAAAACAAAACCATCAAAGGCTACACACATGAGTTTATACAGTCACCGAAATAGGGAAATAATCGTACACAGAGTTTATTACTTGAATATGGCACATTTAAATATTGGTTAGCTTGCATTCGTCCAATAATATAGACATGTAAGTACCATTATTGCTGTTGTTTAGTCATTGCGAACAAAAGTGGGAAGTCAAAGTCAGTACCGAAACCACTCGCTGAGCAGATGAGTGAATTACACATTCAATAACTTACGCTTTCGAATAGGTAAGAAAATTATTTACAAAACCAAAAACGCAATAAACGCTACCGGTTATACATTTATATATCAATTCGTATCTTCTATTTGAGAGATTCCATTGAGAATATTAACTATAGTTTATAACTTCGTTCGTCGGCCATTTTGAGCCATCTGCTTCTTTTTCTAGCTTCATTCTGCGTCCAATACAATAAATTTATGGCGTATCATCATTACATTAATTATTATATATTAAATCTATATACAACTCTATATCGAGACATAATACATAGCAGACTATTAAATTGCGAACAGCACGTGCGAACACATAAATAAATATTATACAAGTTCCGATAATCCAACGTTCATTGTTGTGTTTGGCGTATTATGCGACTGAGAATTACAATTTGTAATGAGCACTTAAATCAATCCGGTATATTTTCTTTTTATAACTTGTAATGCATAAACATTTGACTAAAAAGTACGATTAAAGCTAAAAAATAAGTCGTGGAAATTGTATCAAATTCTAAACATTCGAAAAGTAAGACTTGCATCAAGATGGCGGGCGTATTTAAATATTTTACGTTATTAGACAATTCTGTTTACTATTTACTTTAAATTTTCGTAAAAATGTTTAAAACTTACTGAAGTTAATTCGTATTGTTAAGTTTTAAGTTATATCTCTATCTTCTACAACTAATAAAGACGGATGATTCTCGAAATGGAAACGTTCGTATGTAATCGCTACGACTACGACGAATTATGAAGTATAGAAGTTTGCGTTTTCAGTGTGAAGATCAATTTGGTATCGCCAACTCTACCCGTGTTTTTCGTTTATGTTTTAATTGCAGACGTGCTCCTCCTTGGTGTATCGACATATTTCGCATACCACCTGGCAGCACCACACGAACTTGCATTTGCACTTCTCTTCTACTTCGCGGACGCGTGTTTGATAACCGCGCCCGCAGCAGAGTAATCGGCAACCATCGATGCCTTGACTCGTTTTGTTGCAGAGACGGCCTCTGGTACCCATTATATTCAATCTGGAAGAAGAAATATTATAGAAACGAGAGAACATTGATAGATGGCGCTAGTGTTTTAGTAATTCCTAACCTAACTTTTTAAATTCTAAGACCTTTTTGGTCGAATTAGGTGCAATAAAGCGTTATTTTCGACAAGCACGGTAATTTTATGTGTTTTTCTATATATTATTTATGGCTATTGATACATACGTGTCATTTTTTTCACAATAATCTGGTGAATCGTCCAAATAAACCAAATCGGTTTTAATCGGCTTCTTCATATCTGGACTCACTGCACGTAGTTTTTTCTTGCGTCGCTCGACGAATTTCACATGCGAAGCACCTTCGTAGTTCTGATACAAAGCTTCACCAACTATTCTGAAGGTCGGCAGCCGCCGCCAGCACACACGTAGGCTGCACGATCCCGACATTCCGTGGCACTTGCATACCCGCTGCATTTTCGATCTGATACTCTACAAAATAAATAATCAAGAAATCAATGACCATTGTCATTACTAGAGGGTTTACCCTGCGTCCAGCTTCGTTGTTGTGCAAATTCATTAGCCCCACGGCGGTGTTGGGATCCTCGCGTACGTCGAGGAACTCCCTGCTGACCTTCTCCCCATGTCGGATGTCCTCCGAGCAGCCGCCCCACTGCCAGGTGCGCGGTTTGCGCTGCCGCACGCGATTGTCGCATGCACACTCGTTGAGCTCACCCTTGGAGCAGGCCCGGGTGACAGCAAACGCTATCGATGCTGCTGACACAGCCGATAAATATGCCGACTCTCTGCTTTCTGAAAACCGCCGACCGATTTAATATCTCCCAAGAGGTTGAGCGTTAAATTTATTTGTGAACTTACTGATTGAAACCACGTTTCCAAAAACGTTGCCGCTATCTGGAAATGATGTGCAATTCCATCTGTTATTACGGAACTGATGTTGGCATTCTTCTATTCCTAGTTTAGCCCCATTCCCCAACACCTATAAAACACAAATAACAAAAATCGTATTTTTTTTCATCAAAACAAAAATTACTAACCGGTAAAAGTTTATTACTCCCGGCACATATGGCTTTCTGATGCTCATTCAAAAAGTCTAATCCCTGACATCGGTCCTTGTGGAAAGTCGGAGTCAAGTCGACACTGTTCGGAGCGGATCCGGCGAGCCCCAGTTGCCTGTAACGACAGAGAATCATCTCATAAAAAATGAACAATTTCATGAATAAATATCGAAAAACTTCGGCGCGTCCGGCCGCCAGTAAAACGCGCCCGCGCGCGTTGAGATTATCTCATCGATAAAGTGCAATCCGAGAAAGGGGGAGCGCCGGGGAGCAGCGAGAGACGCCTGGGACCTGGGAAGCGTTCGCGCCGATTGCCCACCTGAGACCTGCGACCGGAGTCAGAAGGCAATATAAGCAGTCTGCAACAACGTCTACAAAGTCTACCCCAACGTGCATGTCACGTCTGCCCCTAAAAGTACTCCGGTACGCGTCTGGACGCGTCTGAACGCATAAAACAGGAGATTCCAAGGATCCCGTGCAGTAGAATCGTAAAAACCGACGAATTGCAATCGTAAGATGCAAGCAACAACCCCAAAATTTTCCGAAAATTAGATTTTAGAAAAACCCGGAGCGAAAAAAAAGTTCTGTTGCTTCCGTTTTACTTCCTTTTTGCGAGTGGTTTGGTTTGCACCTGTTGATGTCGTCGAGGACTCCACTCGCGATTCTCGAATTGCCACAGCACTGTATACGCTGCCTTGGGCAATGCGTAATTACGCACGATTAAAAGGGTTGATTTGTCCGACGGCGACCAATGAGTGTGTGCGGGCGAAGGGCCGGGCCGCGCTTGTTTTCCGCCATTGGCCTCTGTGTGTGCATCGGATGCGTGCGGTTCATTGTTCGCGCATTGTTGTGAAACAATGCGCCCCATTATTTGCCATCCTGTTAATTCCGGACGATGTGCATTCAAGAGGACCCCGCGAGCACGTCGAGTGCGCGCGCGGGGCTGTGTGGAGTGGGCCCCAGCAGCAGCCGAGCGAGCTCCCTCGCCAATCGAACGCGCTTTTTAAAATGGCCGACATATACGGCCCTTTTTGCTCTCCTTAATTAGCCATCTTTGCGACGGGCATTGTCTCGGACTGCTACCGGCGGCAGTTATGAATATTAAAAACCAACATGTACGCACTTGAGTGTGTACGAGAGGGCACTCGCCGCTCTAAGATCGAGGTGAGCACGCACCGAGGAAACCACTCGGAAAATTTCTGCCAGGGAGAGCTAATTCCGAACCGCGAGCGCGCGCGGCGATGAGTCGATGCGTCGAGTGTTTCGCCTCGAAGCTCGACTGATTTTTCAGCCTCGTAACGATAAGCAAATATTAAATACCTAGTTACGAGGACGAGCGTCGAGTTTGACTTCCGGTTGTGAACCGTTGTTCGTTAGTTCATTAACGGACAAACCGCGACGCAACCCGAGGCGCAATTAATCAATGATAACACTCCTCTTGTAAGTATTTATTTAGTACTTATCCATTTAATGACTCACATTCCAAACGAAATCCAGCATTGAAGAAAGAAAAACTGCATGTTAAGAATTATTATTCTGCAAATTTTATTTTTAGGTGTCATTTTCAATAAATTGTTTTGCTTTATTTTGCAGATTAAGTCTTTTGCGTTTCTGCCGACAGAGATATCAAGTACAATATAAACAAATGCATTATTTTGATTATACTCAATGGTTTGCATGTCGCCATCTATGGTCAAACCTTTAAACAGAAAGATCAAACAAGATTCTCTAAACTGGAAGCCGAAAAAAATGTTTATATGTCCATCAAACGAATATTTACATTACATACCATTAGTAGTATAATAAACTGGAGTAATAACTAAAGTAACCTAAGCACAGCTAGAAGTAATATTCCAAGAAGTGTATAATTATAACATCTTAATGATTTATGAGCACAATTAGATATACACACGGAAAGCCGTTTATTCCATTCATTATTTATAAATAAATACGCGCATAAACATAATGGAATGCAAAGCATTTCAGCACCAAATTAAAAACGCGCAATTTGCAACTGATGTTTATATATATATAAAGCTGCACTCGCTGCGGGACATTTCCAAATAAAAAATTTAATAACACGCCAAGGTGGCGAACCTCTGCCCATCTTGGAAGCAACAATCTTAGTTGGCATTAATTAAGAGACACACCACGACGCCAAAAACGGCGACTTCATAAATTCTCCCATTTTTAATTTCATCAACAGCGTTGAAAATAAATAACGTAGCGGTTAGCGGTAGCCATATGTCGATTCAATAAAACAGCATTTAATTAAACGCCGGCATAAATCATCATTTTTTCCTTGATGACATGCCGCGCATTTTATTAAAGCGTATAATTTCACAAATGAAACTTTTACGAACGCACAAAGTTTCAGTTCCGATAAAATATCATATTCGGACGCATAAATTGTTGCCCTTCTCGCTGGACCAAACTTAATTCCGCTGATGTAATTTGCCAAAACAAAAAATACTTTTATTGTGGCAGCGAATATGATAAGTAGACGTTTTATTTTCCGCAGCACAACGACTTTGCGATTTCGTGGGCAAATGCGTATGTGTGTATTTTATGCGGCAGGAATAATATATCGATAACGTTCCCGAATTTGTGTTTTTGGTATATACCGGAAAAGAGCAGATCACATGTGATCGGATCGCATGTGAGGCTCGTAATATTAAGCGGGCATTAAATAAATACCACCGCTTTTTTGTATGTGTCTCTTCTACTCGTATTCCGTTACGGAAGTTCCCCTCGCAGTAGCCTTGCTCTTGCGCGGTGGTGCAATACTGTAACCGGCATAATATTTACAACGCGGGCCAGGAGTTACGGGTATTATCGTAAAATCGGATTAGTTTTCCCATTCGCATGCTCATGGATATGAGAATAACTCATAAATAGAATTATTATTCTTGTTTAGGACAAGCAGAAGTAACAACGAAAAAAATGAAAGAAGCTTTAATAACGTGTTATTACATTTTGATGCAACCGCTAAAGGAGATCTTTAAATTACTATTTTTAATTACTTTGATGGAAATTTACGTTGTGTAATGAGTAATTTTAACTTTTTAATGCAGCAGTTTTATGACTACGTACTTACTTACATGAGAATATTGTTATCTGGTCATGTTCACAACCCTCTAATCTAATCTAAGCTGGGATTAGTTGAAGCGAGGGGTGGTGAATTAATAAATTTATTGCACCCCAACAGATTTGACCCTTTATTTGGCGCAAAACACATCATTGCATGCATGAATAATTTGATACTGTTTAACCTAGAAAAATAACAATGTAGTGACAAACATGACCTAACCTCAAAACACGATGGGGTATTATATTTTAGTCGAGATACAAACCTAAGTGTACGCCATCTAAGATCATAAGAATTCACAAAATAGGTAATACATAACCTGTGTTTATAATCTACATACATAAAACAAAATAGGGTTTGTTAAAGCATTTATAACTCAAAAACGGCTGGTCAGATTTTGATGATCTGTGATTTATCGGATTCGCATCCTCCACGAAAAACAGAATAATTATTAAAATGTCTAAAATTATTACTTAAAGGATGTTAAATAAGAAACGAATATTGGCACACCCTGAGTGTTTAACAAAAAAGTAAAAATTAATTACATTTGTACTGAAAACAGGACGACATCCCAGGCGAAAGCAAGTATTATATAATATGTATTGAATTATTGTAGATAATTGCATAATTAAAGCAGAATCAGCATACGCTCAGTTGCAATTTGCAATTGATAAAAATAAATATTAGCTCAATGAATGAGGGATCGTCCCACCGCATTTGAACAACTCTCGGATCGCGTGCGGCCTTCCCCCTTGTGCATTTATTTGCACACCGCATGATCCAATTATTAATGCCACCACAGTAGAATTATATGCTAATTAAATGCTTGGATAAATCCGTAAAGTACGTACAACATTCACACGGCTTGAATGTTTGCGCTCGATGATGAATTCCTAGATCAAACAAATAAAGATCGAGAATTTGGCGCGTGCGATATAAATCATATTCATAAATCGCCATCGTTTGTATATTGTTTTAAAAAAGGCACGTTTTCAAGGCGTCATTGAAAAATAAATTCAAGCGGATAAAATAATTGGCGAGCATTTTCCGCCGGCTGAAACATTCAAATTTCGAATAATGGGCGTGCAAAACGAGCGCAAGCACCGGTAGCTATAACTATATTTCGTCTTGAGGTGGATGTTGGAGCTGGAGAGAAGAGGAAGCCAATCTGTTGAAAACTCTGAACGTGTACGGAGCACCTGAGGCCCGGTCCTCAGGCTACCCAGCAGATCATGTTAATGCATCCTCCATGTGAGGACGTGAGCGATGCGCGTGTACTGCAGAGAGGAGAGGCAACACACAAAAAAAACTTGACGAGAGATGTTTGTTTGAAGTAACGACCCACACACGGACTTTTCGGATTTCACAGATTATTTTCGCCGCGAGTGACTCATTAAAACGACGCCGACATGCGCACCCGACGATGTCGACATGTAATCGACATGTTTTCCGAAACTCTCTCTCTGCGCTTCAATAAATAGCATGTCTTGATGTCAATCATGGTCATGATTACATAAAATGCCAATTGCAATTACGTTGCTTCTGATTATGACAGCCACTTCACAATCAACAATTGGAAAAATGTATTTTTATATATAATTTAACTCACGTCAGCAGGTTATGATGTCTTGTGGTGAGTTGTTAAGTACGCGTCGTTTTGTCGTGCCGGAATGTTAACAACTCAAAAAGTTAAGTAAGTGCTGAGCAGTTAATATATTAATGGCTTGTTTAAGTGCTTCATTAGATTGATCCTGCTAAAAGGAGATGTCTACTTCTTTAATACTAAATGTAGGGATTTTATTACAAAAAAATTAATAACTTCCGATTAAACGCTGCGTTTAATATACAGCAACCCAATTTACATTTACCAGTTGTGTATGTTGCCTATACAATCTAATCGCACACTTAAAAAAGAAAGTTAAAAGCTTAGAAAATCATTTAATTTACTCCTTAATGCATTCAATTTTGTTTTCATAATTGCCTTTTAATACACGTATTAGTTTCTTGTAAAGATTTTCTTTTCGTTG